ATATTCAAAATATCTGTCTCCTTGAGCATTGATTCTAGTGGAGTATCTACTCGACTGAAGGCCCCATTCGATAACGAAAATCTACCACTGGATAACCCTATAAAGCTCTCATCTCCTACTATACCATTTCCAATCTGCTTCCCCTAAAGTGACGCAATATTGCAATCTACCTTTCGTTTTTTTCGTGATTCTTCCTCTCTCTCTGCCTCTTCTTTTCGGATTTCATCTCGTTCTCGCTGTTGCTGCTCCTGCTCCGCTTTTACAGCTCTAATAGAATTGAAGGACAATCGATGGGATTCAGTGATTGGATGGATCTTGCCTTTCTCTGTCTCGTTCAACCGCGGCAGCGTATGCTCTGTCTTGGTCCATTCGGAGGCGTCTATCCTCTTCCAGCCTCTTCAATGCACGATCGCTTTCCAGCCGCTGATTCTCGATATACTCCAAGGCCCTTGCCATCAAATCTAAACCTGCATTACTATCACGAATGGATCCTTCCTGAAAAATGAACAGAGAATTGTTTGGCGCCAGAATAGTAACGATGAAAGGGTTTCGGTGTCGAAGTCATCTATCCAGGTTTGGGACACACCACAACGCCCATCCGAACGAATCCTTCCAATGGTTGTTGTGAATTCCTCGTTCCCGAGTGGATCGCGTGTCCCATTAATGGTCCAGATCCATCTCGCGCGGTCGATGATGTTGGAACGAATACAGATAAATGTGGCAACTCGGAGCAATGGAGAATCTTCCTCCTCAAGACTTGACCTTCCAAGCAAGTACTCAGCGTTGCCCAAATAACAGCGTGAGAACCCTGGCATCATCAAACATCGACCAGAAGTGAATGACGCGGTGGCGGAGAAAATGAGTGGATTAAATGTCTCACCGCGATATCAAGAAATCCTTCGTTATGGAAAAGCTTCCGACAAATTGCATCCGACCCCGACACTTGATGCAAATAAATCAACAACACGCGATTGCTACGTTTAGCTTCCTGAGTTGCCTGAAAGGAACATTTTCGTATTTTTCCCAAAGAGTCGCCTGATTGCGACATACTTGGGCGAAATCACCGACAAAAAATTGAGGTTTGGGAGAACCAAAATTTGTCAGGAAATGCGAATTGAAATCGACTGCTCCATACGACTGAATATGGAATGCTGGGGAAAGGAACGTGGAATAGAAAAGCCTTAGGACTTTGATGATTGAGCGAAGGGTCGCGCTGAAGTACCTGCCTATAAGAACATAAGAATGAGACCCCTGAGCGTTTGACGACACGTAAGTCAATCAGACTGCGTCATAATCGAATGTATATGAATCTCAGAGAGGAAGGCAACCATGAGAAAACATCACAGTGGCCGGTCGCGTACCGATACTCTTTCCGGCAGAAAGAAACCACGCGGTGCGAGTTGACCCTTCTGATCTACTTGATGAATGGCTTGAAGAAGATGAATCGGAATGTTCCGTCTGAATGAGTGGTTCTCGTGACGGATTTCGACGAAAGGTTTGATCCTCATCGTGGGAAGCGAAATGCAAAGCAATGGCAGCCTAGAAGAAGAAATGAGAATGTTCGTTATGTCTACACAATCGGTTCATGCTCATCGAGGAGCTGATCGGATCGAGGCCTCCTTACTTCAAGATTCCATTGACATGACTCGAGTAATGAAGTAGCGTGGTGTATCGTCCCACCAGTAATTTCTAAAAATTGAGCGACTAGAGATTGTTTTTCATGATCTAGCGATAAATCTTCATTGAGTGACATACTGGGTAGTGAATCTGTTTTAAATAGCTGTGACTGATGCTCTTCCCTTTCCATCCTACTTACATCCAGGTGGCCTCCCTTTCAATGTTTTTTGTCCTACGAATCCTGTGCCTGGGAGGAGATGGCGAAGAGCTGGACGCATTTTTTTCAAATGAGATGCGTCCAGAAATCTCACTACTCTTCAATTTGATAACTTCAGCCCTCACAAAGAATGAAATGCACAACTAATCTGATGGGGACTTGGAAGAAGATTCCCTCGTCGAAATCTTCAGCCGGGAAGACGAAAAAGGGGAACACCTTTGGCCCTAAAGAAACAAGGGGCAGCTTGGCTGGTTGAACTTCTAAGGACAACATCTTCTGAGGTTTCTGGAACTTCTGTTCTTTCCCACTTCCTCGTTCCGACAGCTGGAAGAGCAGCATGAAGTGGCTGCAGGTTTGGTTGACCGCTTCGAATTATTTCTGCTTCCGCAAACGCCGCACCACGTTCAAATATCTTCAAAGTTCAGGAATTCCCGTACTCGATTGTAGAACACTTTCACCATTTGATGTGTGAAAGTAAAGGTTGGCAAAGAGAGAAGCGTTTGCGGAAGGGTTAAGATCCCACCACCCCATGAAGTGTTTTTGTCAGTTGTCTTTATGGTTTGCTTGTCTATTACGATCGTAACGTGGCAGCCTGCTCTTTGTTTACCCCACCTATCTCCCGACATGTCCGTCGCCGCCGGAGCCCCTGCCCGCGCACACGCGCCAGCGACTACAGGTGATCCTGTCGTCGTTTACGATCTCTACGATGCTAGCGAACGTAGCGACCTCCCATTCGAACCCCTCACTGATGTCTGGCCCAGAATGCGTTGCGGGGTATAGAACATGATCCCCATCCAATTATGCGGCTCTGTACGGTTTCCATACAGAAGAAAAACATCGAGATTGCAGCTGGAATAGCAAAATTCTTTCCAGAGTTGTAGCTGGCTGGCGGCGGTGGACGAAATCTCTTGAAAATAGACAAAGTTGCAAACGCGTGCCGAAGGGATAACTGTGCGCTCTGGATTAATAACTCAAACGAAGCTGTTTCGGCGATCATCGCAGACATATTCTTATCAAGCTTGTGGTAGATTTTCCAGCTCGAACAGTGGGAGGCACGAAAACTCGGTGCAGCTGTGAACTGGATGAAACGAAAACACTCAAAGATATGGAAATATAACCCAAACATAGAAATAAATGAGAGAATGAGGAAAAGGGTGAGAGAGTATGCAGGATAGGATGGTGGATAAAATGTTGGACAAATAATAAAAAAGAAAGAGGATTCATTTTGATTCAATCGATTGAATTCCCTGATTCACGTCACATGGCAGAGAAGGCGAGACCTGGGGGTGGAGCTGGGTGGCTAGATCTTTTTTCAGACTCATCTTACAACTCAGACTTGCCTCATGGCTCACGTCTTGAAACTGGGAGGTAGGAGTGTGAGGTTGGCTCGTGATTGGTCACCGAGCTGCTGCCTAACCGGCGGATGGGAGAGAAGGTGGGGGGTGTTGTGCTGGGCGCTGGGGGTGAGACGAGAGAGCGGTTCGCGGTTTGTGGGGTGCTGATCATGAATCTTAACTCGTGACGACATGGTTGGTTAATCGGGTAGACAATAAGGTTCAAGGACTCAACTGGTCAAAAAAAACGTGCACATGCAGAGTGCACATGCAGACAAACGACTACATACATGTTACGAGGGTCCTGGAACTACAAAGTGTTCAGACTGAAACGTCGTTGTCACTGGGTTGAACTCTCTGCCCTTTGTGCCAGTATTTCCATAGTATTTATATATCTCACCTACATGTCCGCCTTGCATGTCTTTATGTTGTTGTGGTGACAGTGGATAGAATTAGATGTTAGGTTTGATGTTCTGACGTGCAAATACAAAGCTGCCTCATATGGCATGTAGTACCGGGAACTGAGTGTTCCAGTGAACTGTTAACAACTATTAGCAACTACACTTCAGCCATCTGGCACAGTATTCTCTCATTCAATACTCTCATTCAATACTCTCATTCAATACTCGAACCTGAACGCCTCAATTTTCATATGTTTTTTGTGAGTTTTTTATGAGTTGGAGTATTGGTGGTGTTCTGTGTCGATCGCTACACAATGGCATTCATAAATACCTGGACACGGGCCGCAATTCGGTGATTCTTGGAGGCGGACACAGATCTATGGTGAGGCTGTTCCCTCAAGGAGAAGTAATGGCCCATCGCTAGGAAGATATTGCCACAACCTCATTTCTCATGCGTGTCATTTCAATAAGTGCCCCGGTTTAAAACTTAATATTTTAAGACTTAATGGAAGGTCAGGAATTGTAGTGTTTCGAAACAAGGCTAAACCAAGCCATCTAAAAGAGCAATCGGATCAACCTTCACGTTTACTTCAAACCTTAAAAACTCAGTTATCACTAGGCACTTGTTATTGCTGCCGTAGTTTTGTGTGTAGTTTTTATAGCAGTTGTTGTTGTTAGTCCTGGCGTCGTTCCACTCGTTGTGTCATCGTTCTTACAGTCGTTGTGTCAGTCCGGTTTCCAGCCATTGTTGAGTCAGTCGTTGCTCGGTCAGTCGTTGGTGGCTCAGTCGTTGCGTTGGTGGCCCAGTCGTTGCTCGTCTCCGCACTCTATTTATCTGGATCTCATCCTCTCTCTATTCATACAGATCTCATCTCCATTTTCTGTTTGTATTAATCTCGTCTCGCTGGCTTTACTTCCACGGACTTGTACTATGGCTTTCGACAGTTCAAGTGTTCCTGCTTGGGTGGACGTGGGATCTCAAGCGTCAGGTTGCCCCTATTCTTTCGAGATATCTGTAGTCTTTCGAGATTCGGAATTCGGTGTAGACCGGCTGCCCAGCGTCCGGCCTTCACAGCATTGTTCGGCCAACTGTGGAAAATCCATCGCTCACTTCAGGAAGGGACGAAATGTGGTGTTTGAAAAAAATTGTTTTGTGGTGAAAAAGAGTTGCATTGTTTAAAAAACAAGTGCTGATAAATTGATAATCTAAAAAGTTCGCAGCCACCATCATTCGAGAGGGAGAGCAAGCGGCTCAACTGTCAACCTTTACGTTCACTGCAACCTTTAGAAATCCATTGGAGTTGCTTTCAGAGTCACTCTCATGAGAATTGGTAGTCGTTACAGTCGTTGTGTCAGTCTTGTTTGCAGCCATAGTTTCGCGTCAGTCATTGGTGGCTCAGTCGTTGTTGGCCTTGTTCAGTGAATGGTGGCTCAGTCGTTGTTGGTAATGTTGGTGTATGGTGGCTCAATCGTTGTTGGCCTTGTTGGGTCAGTGAATGGTGGCGCAGTCGTTGTTGGTAATGTTGGGTCAGTGTATGGTGGCTCAGTCGTTGTTGGTAATGTTGGGTCAGTGTATGGTGGCTCAGTCGTTGTTGGTAATGTTGGGTCAGTGTATGGTGGCTCAGTCGTTGTTGGTAATGTTGGGTCAGTGAATGGTGGCTCAGTCGTTGTTGGTAATGTTGGGTCAGTGTATGGTGGCTCAGTCGTTGTTGGTAATGTTGGGTCAGTGTATGGTGGCTCAGTCGTTGTTGGTAATGTTGGGTCAGTGTATGGTGGCTCAGTCGTTGTTGGTAATGTTGGGTCAGTGAATGGTGGCTCAATCGTTGTTGGTAATGTTGGGTCAGTGTATGGTGGCTCAGTCGTTGTTGGTAATGTTGGGTCAGTGTATGGTGGCTCAGTCGTTGTTGGTAATGTTGGGTCAGTGTATGGTGGCTCAGTCGTTGTTGGTAATGTTGGGTCAGTGTATGGTGGCTCAGTCGTTGTTGGTAATGTTGGGTCAGTGTATGGTGGCTCAGTCGTTGTTAGTAATGTTGGGTCAGTGTATGGTGGCTCAGTCGTTGTTAGTAATGTTGGGTCAGTGTATGGTGGCTCAGTCGTTGTTAGTAATGTTGGGTCAGTGTATGGTGGCTCAGTCGTTGTTGCATCCTCATACGCAGCACAAAGAACTGAATCAAACAACGACGGTACAAACGTTTCATCCATTGAACCCTCCTTGAATGGACCCTCTTGCACATAGACACGTTCGCCCAACTCTTGCCATCTGTCCATGTTGGAGCTGTCGACGACGGCAACCGCCAAGTAGGTATTTGTCTGCTTCAGCACCTTTACAACATCGTCTTTCGAGGGAGCGTCAAAAGTAGTGCACTGGATTCCCTTACCAGACTGCCAAGCGGGAAGATTCAGGCCTCCTTAAGTTTTATTGGTCAAAAGCGAAACAACCTTCACTTCAACTTTGCCGTGGGGCTTGATTGTCTGTTCATTCCATCCGAAATGGTCATTCAGCACCAAATCAAGGATCGGGATCAAAGCTCTTGTTGTCGTCGCTCTGGTTTTTGCAGGATTTAACCGTTGCCATGTGTACCATGCATCCATGTACTGAGGGTTGCGTGACAAAGGCATCCCTTCATAACACTTCGCAGGAGTGTGAGAATCCTCATCCGTGATGAAGAAAAATCCACCACGATATGGTTGGATTTTTGCCTCTAGAAATTTGGACGATGCCATGAACCACGTTACAGGAAAGCTGAAACCCTCATGTTGGAGCAGGCTCTCATCTCCATCCAAAAGAAAAGCCACATCGACTGCAAAGTCATTGTAAGGAGTTGACGGCCATTGCAATCTAGAGCGCACGAAGTTCTTGCAGCAAAAAAGAACAACAAGGCAAGCGGCAGAAGATGATTCATGTTGGTTGAGTAAGGGAGAATCAACTGCACACTCACTTATCGATTGAAATGATCGGTTGAATGATTTTGTTCATAGAAAAGCAGAATTCGAAAAATCTTCTTGTGGGCTATGATTGCACATCTTAAAGAATTTGACAACGTCTTGCGGTGTCGTCCTGCAGTGATTGTCTTGCGCTTTTTCCTGTACGCGCGGTTGTTTTGTTTTTTGTTACACTGAAACTGCCATGCAATTGTTTCCACTCCTATCCTCTCTCTCGCCATCGTTGCTAGCCCCTTGCACTCCTTTACGTGCGCGCGGCCTATTACTGGCTCCCAGCGGGCGTCCTGCTCCTGTCAATTGACAGTCGTACCTGGGCAACCCCAGTCCGGATTCTTTTTGCGCAGAAGTTGGAATAAACATCACCTGTTATTGGCTGTTAGAGTTTCAAATTTCTTTTTGTTTGCGTCACTTGCCCGTCCAGACGTTGTCTTCTGCAGCCATGGGACATTGTGCCCGCGTTTCTACTAGATGTGTTCCTCACTCGCTGGTAGCTTGTGACAGCCGAAGCACCTCCTCGTGTACCTCTCCACTTGCATTTGCTCTGTCCTTATTTATACAGATCTCATCTCTCCATCCTCTATTTATACAGATCGCATCTCTCCATCCTCTATTTATACAGATCTCATATTTATCTGAATATTTATTCAGATCTCGTGGACCGATTTATTACCTGTTGGACCCTTGAGCTTGTACACCTGAGAGATGGAGATTTGTTCTGTGACAGAGTCCCAACGGGTGGCCAACTATCATCAAGGCCTCCAATTCTCTCCCAACCATCTCCCTCATAAATCATGCAACTACAAAATGAAATGAGAACATTCACCACGACGTCTTTCCTCCCACTACAAGCAAGGAACCAGGAAGTTTCTCGAGAGGAAAGAAGCCCGAAATCCAGAGAAAGCTCATTCGGGTTGAATGATCGATCCATTATTGTCTCAGGAGACCATGGGGCCCCACAGCGCTATCCAGTTTGAGGCTGATTCCGGATGGGACATTTTTTTCGTGGGGCTTATTCCTTTAGCAGTTCCAAGTGCGTATCAGCTCATTGGCCACACGTTCTCCGTATCACTGTCCTGTGGAATGCACTCGCTCTATGCCATCTGTAGTTGGCAGGCTTCGCTGCCTTGGTTCGAGTTGGGGAACATCGGTGTCACTGTCCATTTTGTTAGGGTTCACGAGGGGTTTGTTAACAGGTGAGGAAAACATTCAGACAGATTTTGGGACGACCCATGGAACAGAAAACTTGGGTGAGGAAACAGATCAACAGACGACAGTAGAGCAGGCTAACACACAAGTCGCACAGAGGAGTCGACCTACGCGACTAGACACTTTTAGCAGGCGCGAGAACGGTTCCTACTGTCAATTTATTGTTCCAGTAGTTCAACTATTACTCGTTCTGTCTGGAATGGTGGAGTTAGCATCGTCTTCTCATGCATAATGTTTCTCTTCGGGTCATTGCTGGATGTCAGTTTAGATGCGATCAGCGCAACATACGTGACATCTCGATGCAACACCTCTATTGCAGGTTCCTTGCGGCTTATTATTTGTGCTGTGGACGTCTTCATTGTACTTCTCAGAGAAGGCTTGGAGAAGAAGCATGATGGCATGCTCAACTCTGGTTATCTCCGAACATCACAGAAGAGGTTGCAATTATGTACGCCATAATGGGAATCATGGTCTCCTGCGCAGTAAGATCAGACGCCCTTTGAAACTAGTCTTCAACGAAAAGCCTTGAGCCTAATTTTTCGACAGTTCCTGACGATTTGCTTAACGCTAAACCCGAGTCGACTTCGACAAACCGATGGCACCCCCAATTCAGTTCATCAAATATAAAAATACTTCATTCGCTGCCTGTTTGCGGAGAACTGTTTGGCTTTTTTTCCGTTCGAAAACGCTTTTCTATTTCTTCCCTTCAATCTTCCTCAGCGGTTGGTTCGCATTCCATCAGAGTTTTATCGTTGAGGCGAACACTTCACTTGAAGAACGGGTCCA